CAGACGCTCGCCCGCCCTTGGCGACTGCGTCAGGGAACACGAGCCTAACACAGGCGACATTTATGAAGACCATAAACCTAACCGGCCACCGCGTCACGCGCGTGCCGCCGACAAAAACCGCCGACAATGGACATCCTTTACGGCCTACCTGTTATCATTTATATGGAGGTATCAAAACAAGGATAAATAGAGTTAAAGGCGGCCGGTGTGGGCAGCCGGTGCGATGGGCCGCTGCATATAAAGTGATATTTGTTGTCTGTGGACGTGCCATGCCGAGAAGGAATGCGTTTAAACATTGATATAGTGCGCCGGGCGGCTGTAAATAGACGGGACGGGTGCTATGCATAAACATGGCCCTCGTCCGGAAGGTGTACTTAGGGGTGTATTTATCACGACCGGTCACGCCACCCCCCGGCCGGGGATGCTGCCCGCTCCGGATACTCAGTCGGTATGAGCCAAAAGAGGCCAGTTTTTGTCCACGACGTACGCCGGGTCAATACTTTCTGACCGGCACGGCAGTGAAGCGTGCCTAATTGCCCCATTACTCCGACTCCAAGGCAGGTAGCCAGGGTGTTTACTAGCATTACCCCATGCACTTACAAATGACATTACCTTTACTAGTCAAGTTAAAACAAACTACCTGTCTATCAATCAACATTCAACATATAACGCTACAGTACATGGATATATCATTGCAGTGTATTTGTAGAGTTTAGCTAAGAGCGTTGCTGTCCAAAGCGCGCACCATAGTTTTATTGAGCAAGGTTTCCCCACCGATTGCGCTATTCATAGTTAGCCATGTGCCGTGCATGCAGTATGATGAACATTTTCTGCACATCGGTATTAAGCTGGAATAACAATGCCATTAGGACGTCAGATTATAATTCCGGAACTAGGCTTTGTTGCGAGTTATGCGTGGTTGAATGCAGTGATAGTCTGAGTTGCATCAGTGTTGCGTCCCATGAGACGTAAAACCACCTGCACACAGTACGCACAGGAATGTAAGCATTGCTGACGGTGTTAAGAAAGAAAAAATATTGAGGAAACTGAGCACGCCACATTTTTTTAGATCTGGCTAAATTGGCTTTGATCCTTGCTTACGTAAAACGTCCACTTTCATCATGAGCAATTCTTTCTTCAACATTTCGAAGTATATCTCGATTACAAGCTGTCCCGAGAAATAAAAACGTTAATGCTTATGTGAGGATTCCGAGAATATGAAAAAATACTCTAACCTCAGTCCTATTCTTACAACTTTGAACCCAAATGGTTCCTTTGATCATAATCCCGTATCTCATCAGTGTAATGCTTGCAATAATCGTCCCAATTCCCCTACCGCATCTGACCTGAGCGGGACTCATGCGGCTGCTTGCAGTCCCCATCACCGCTAGCAGCTGATGGGGTATCATGTTCTGCGGCGTGTGCACCAGTGTTTGTGGGGGTGCCAAGACTCGCGTTGACCACTCCCATGATGAGACGCTGGCGCAGTTGATCGAGAAAAAACCACACTTGTGTAATCAGACAATATCCGAGTCGGAGTCACAACTGGCATGGCAAATCAGTAGCAGAAAGAGAGTCGGAGTCACTGCTGGAGTTAGATGTGAGTTTGAATGTCAAACGGGAAATAACCGCTAGAAACAGGTTGGACCTATAAGTTCAATGAGCTTTGGAGCGCTATGCTATCTTCTTGCTATTCTTATTGTTGTTGACTGGTTTGTTGTTGGCCTGTTTGTAGCTGTATTCTGAACTTCAATGTATCCTTCATCAACTAGGCCTTATCTCTGTCCGCTTTTGCAACTGTCAATCTGCTGACTAGCCTGTTCTGCTTTCGAGGCAGCTGCATACTTCACATTCGTCGTTGCTTCGGCTTTGTGCTATCACCTGAATAAATGTTCACCGATCATTAATTCTATATGAAATGTGAATGGTTCGCGGGTGTCACGTTTATTATCAGCATCGTAGGCTCATTTTTCACAACCTCATTTGTCACAGAAAATTACAAGGTGAAGATTACATTCTCCTTCAGATATCACGAAATTGCGCCCTGAGTGGCACATTAGCATACTTTGCAGGAAATTTGACACGATTGTCCCATTTAGGTCTGTGTGCGTATATGGCACGTTCCAGCTGATCATAACAATATATCAATACTGTTGCAACATCCCCTAGCAAGGCACCTCAATTCTTGCCACTTGCTAAACGGTATTTAGCTCCACCCTTTTGCAAGAAGGGGTCTCCCTCGCGACCTTCCAGTGTATTGCAAAGACATGACTTGCGCGTGTCGCACACTGCAGCGCTCACATACCGTCGCGTCCTACTTCTCTCACGCACAATCGCCGTTTGCACGCCGTTTGCGGAGTTCTAGCACATGCAGTGACCCTCAAGGATCGGCATTTTCTCCTGCCAACCCCCCCATCTCTCTCTCTCTCTCTCTCTCTCTCTCTCTCTCTCTCTCTCTCTCTCTCTCTCTCTCTCTCTCTCTCTCTCTCTCTCTCTCTCTCTCTCTCTCTCTCTCTCTCTCTCTCTATTTTTTTTTTCTCTCTCTCACTCTCATTCTCACTCTCTTCTCTCTCTCTCTCTTCTCAACTTACCGTCTCTCTCTTCCCCCTCTATCTCTCTGTCTCTCCCTCCCTCCATCCCTTCCTCCATCCCTCCCTCCCTCTCTCTCCCTTTCTCTCTCTCTCTCTCTCTCTCTCTCTCTCTCTCTCTCTCTCTCTCTCTCTCTCTCTCTCTCCTTTCCCTTCGTTATTCCTTTCTCGTCACTCTGCGTACACCATTTCATTTCACACACCGCCCTGCGCCGCGTGTCTCCAGCTCCGGGCCACGCGCACTTTCGCCTCCCGCCGCCCCTCCCGCGAGGCGACCCGTTACACCGACTATTGATTTTGCCACGTCCGAGGTGCCACTCGGGACCAGGGTGGAGTCCACGCGCTGCACCGCTACACGCGCAGTTAGTTTTAGGGCGGCACTGCGCCTGACAATGCGGCGCGCACCCAACGCCGCCCATTCATTCATCCAGCGCTGGGTGACGAACGGGAGGGGAGGGGTGCATGGCGCACAGAGGGGGCACGAGGGCTAGGGAGGGGGCAGAACGGCGTACTGCAGGGCCACCAAGGTCGCAGCCGACCTTGACCCAGGGCACGGGTGGGTGGCACCCGATCGAATGATCTGCGGCCGGACCCTCCACCCAACTGAGGGCATTTTTTGACCTGTTGTGAAAGTGGTGCGCGGAGCGACTGACAGCAACCGTCGAGCTGATCGACTTTGGGCTGGATTTGTCTGCGAGGCCACTTAAGGCTGTTTTCCGGCTGAATTGGAATGGGAGTTCCCTTAGAGGCTGGTACAGCTATCACCGCCCATCCAATCAGCAAGATCGTACGTGCAGCCCGGTGGCATTCCTGAACGCGCGGTGACCGCGCCTCTTCGTTAATCACGATTACGGGCGGCCGAATAAGTTATCAATTCGAAAATCGATGTCGCCCGTTTATTAGGCCAGTTCCCCTCTGACAGAAGTGATGATGACGCACATTAATCGCAGTGGGCGTGATAAGGCGGCGACCATTCAAAAATACGACATTTTCTCCGGGGACAGCCCTGGGCGGTCTGTCTGAGCGATAAAGCAGCCGGCGACACGGGTCCGGGCGCGCTGTCCGCTCTGAGCGCGGTGAAATCATTACGGCGGAACTGGGCGGGGCGGGGGCGGTCGTCTCTGTAACTGTCAGCCGGCCGCCGCCGGCCGCCGCCCACCCTGTTATCGCGACCGACCGCTGTAATTAAAATGGATCGGTAATCTATTTTGCCATTAAATATCATTACATGTCGGCCAATTTCTGGCCGGTCCGTCATTAGGCACAGGTTGTGTGGACGCACCGTTTCGGTAATTCAGAGTCGGTGGGTGGAGCATGAGGTGGCGCCTGGCTGATGTCAGCGGGGTCGAAGGTTGGCGCTGTGCCCCGCCGGTCAGTCAAACAGTGCTGCTGAGTCTCTCAGCGGGACACCCTCGACCACTGTGAGCCACTGCACGGGGGCAGAGCGTGTCAAACAGCGCTACTGCCCGTCAGCGCCGGCCGCCGCCAGTAGGGGCGAGAAACACGGCTAATTGAGCCGGACAATCGACCGTCGTGACAGCCGGCGATTACCGTGTTGGCTCAGCGCTACCGAACAATGATCCCTCGGAGCTGCCGAGTTTTCATCGAGATGTCGAGCGTCGTACCATTGTTGAGTCGCGGCTTCTTCAGCGCGGCGCTTCTCGGCTACCGTATCATGCCGGGTAGCAGTTCCACGGCATTGTTCTGCCCACTGGTCAGTCAGCAAACGTCTCTCACCCAACCCGTCAGAAGCCCAACATCATGCACCGTGCTGACCTCTTATAGCTGATCCCCAGCTCTCCCTGTGACACGAATCCTCTCCGGTCTTTATGAAACGTTTAGTCATCATCCGCAGCCGTCACTAAGCCACCCTCTATGACAAGGTTTTGTCACGATTCGCGACAGGCTGTAGCCGCGCCCTGCGGCCGACCCCGGCGTCTTGTCGGGTCGGTGGTGTCAGGCGCTGTGACGGGTGGCAGGCCCGGTTGCTAACCATCCCAGCTAGTGGCTGCGGGAGCTCAGGCGGTCGGCTAATGCCTCTAAGTAATACGGCGCTCACTAGCCGATGCAGGAGCCACTGGTATGGCGTAAGCACCCAATGGTGGGGGTGACAGGCTGAGGTCGCTGGAATCGCAGAGTAGGTCCTGTGCGCGGGATCGATACAAAATCGTAGATTTCGCAGGGTGAGTTGGATGCATCGCGCGTCCGTGCTGCGTAGCATGTTGATTGCTTTACTGAAACGAAGCACTTCACTGGGTATGTTTTGTGTGATTCATACCCATTTCATATTGCAATATCAAAAGTTGATTTCATAATATGACAATTTTACCTACGATCGTAATAGATAATCATGTGCTTTGTGGATTTGTGTGATGAATAATTATCAGCTCTCATGGCTCGTACCCGCAGTTGAGCCCGTATTTCTGCGTACTAACATTCCTGTGGGGCTCAGAAGCCACAGGAGCTTAATTTCATCAGTGTCATGTAATTCGGTAGCCAGACTTGCGGTTAAAAAATCTGGAAATGATTTAACATTGCATTCTTAGGACTTATCTCACCATCTTGTTACATGGTTGTGAGTGCAATCCCACAGAACGGGCAGGCCAGAACCCATTGTTGCTTAGGTTAGCAACATAAGTGTCAGCGTTGTAACAAACGGAGTTGTAAGATTTGATTTATTTTTATATCGATTTGTAGATGTGAAAAATAAGAAATAAGAATCTAAGAAAATCGTGTTGCATGAACATGTTGCATGTTGCACAGCTCCATACCGCACCGCGCACTGCACAGCATGTTGCACACAAGGTTGAAAAAAACAGCACAGCACCAAGGTAAGGCTAGAATCCTTATCCTACAACTGAACTTTCGAAGTGCATATAATTCAAGGATTTAACAACAATATGTGCAACGTAATGAACTCATTGTGGATTGGGTCTCCACCTGCATAGAAATTTCGACCTCTGCATATGCATTTTGCATCACTGCGAGTTCGTGCTTAAACATTACTGCAAGGGTCGCTGGCAAAGGATTTGACTTGTCACATCACAATAGCCAGCAAACCATTGACCATCGCTCGGCCAGAGGTACGCACAACTATCATCGCAATTGTCACACAGCTCATAGTAAGTGTGGTAGCTAGCCCAGTTGGCGTAGGCGGGTGCGGCCCCAGCCGGATTCACGAACGAATCAATAGTCGAGTTTCCGCGTAGGTTCAGCCAGACGCGACTGGATGTATCTGGAACCATACAGGCTGCACACTGGTTTTCTTCCTCGCTGCTTGGAAGCGCCACATCGGCCCCTAGGCTAGAGCACAGGCTGACTGCTTCGGTGAAGTTTGCAGTCGTAGAGTTGCTGTACCACCAGCAAATGCCACCACAGAGGGTGAAGCCTTCTGGACACACACAGGTTCCTGCAACAACGGGGAGTTACTGCACATCGCGTCATAAATACACATTGAACGTTTCGGATCAACGTTATGGTTCTAGAAATACGATTTATTCGTGTATTTAGCGATCGATTGAATACCTGGACGTCACACCACGATATTAGCATAACATTATGATCAGTATCGATCCACTAGTTGTCATGTCATGTCATGTCAGAAAAACGTCATCGCTGCAAAATCTGAAAAAAGCTGCACACGGCTTACACCCCATGCTCTCATACTACTCTTCGATTTTGTTTCACAGATTAAATTCGTCTTCACCGTTATTAGGTACTTAACCCATTAACCCGCGCCCCACTGGGGGGTGGGGGGCTATTCATAGCCCCCTCCCGTTTTTTTTTTTGCAATAACTTTCAAACTGCTTGACGTATCAACGTCAAACTTTCAGTACCTTCGGCTGCATCAATTTGACACCTTGTGTCAAAATATGAGCTTCGTATCTACCATAGGTCGGCCAGAAATGACGTCAGAGTGACGTCATGTTCGGCCGATTTCGACGCAAAACCACGGCAATCGCTCCCAAGAGCTCAGTTTTTAAGCTAGATCCAATTTCTTTGCATGAAAAGACTCAGAATAGACTGCGATATCAAACTGCTATCTCGGATTTTCAAAATTTTGAAAATTTCGAAAATTTTATAAAATAAAATTCAAAATTTATATTTTATATTTTTTTCAAAAAGTGTTTGACTTTTCGAGAAAACCGGAATAAATGTGATAGAACGCATGCCTATGACTTACTCTAGCAAGTTTTAGCTAAATATCTTCAAAAATGGCCAAGTTATACGCATTAGTGCAAAAAAATTCACAATTATTAATTTTCAAATAAACTTTTTTCAGTACGTATTTGACATCATACACCAATATAAATAGCACCATCGTGTACCTGAACTCAAACTGCATCTATGCAGACACCTTATTTGTTGAAAAATTTTAACTTCAAAATTTGACCTTTTTGGACCTGAAAGTGACCTGACCTAAGCTGAATTCGACTCAAATGACCTCAAATGACTCAGAAGACATTAAATTCGAAATCTATGGCCTAAATGGACCATGAAACATGTGTCACGTGACCGACGTATGATATAATATTTCCGTGACCTGTGATAACCTGACCCCGACCTGAAAATCAAAGTACAAGTTTGGTACCCTCAAGATATCTAAAGCTTCTGTTCACGAGTGTGTAAACAAAAAATGAGCCTGATCGGACTTGTCAGCCGGCGGCCAGAGCCTAAATTGTAAGCAAGCAAGAATGCCGATAATTTTTACTTTGACCTGACCTGTGACGTCATCGGTGACCTCGAGGTCAATGAAAATAGGTTTCGCTCGACAGTTTTTCCAGGGCTATCAGACGCCCTTTGAATTTTGACGATCGGCCGAGTAGTTTCGGAGATAGGAGGGGGGGGGGGGTTCTGGAGAGCCCCCCTCAGTCACTCGTGTTATGGAAAACACCCCAGTCATGCGCGGGTTAAGGTGAGATGGTCACTTTAGTCATTCTTGCTCTGTACTCACCATTACAGTCTTTGGCGTCGTTCCAGGTACAGTTGTCCACCTAAAAAGGTAACACATTTTGTCAGACCTATACATATCATGATGATTACGCACATACGCACTTAAAGGTAGACTGCCACCTTTTTTTCACAAAACGGTTTTCACTAGAGCTGAGCCACCTATGTCCCAGACTGAAGTCGGTTTTCCGAAATTCGAACCCGTTTGCGAGAAATCGGAGATCAAAGTTCAGTTTGATGCCATTTTTTTAGTCCAAGAAAACCGACATCTCTACTGTTTATCGATAACTTTGAAACATGAATTTTCTTATCTTTTGGTAAATATATGTCAAAACTTTGATTGTTTCGAGATCAGAGAAGAATTTTGGAGTGTCAAAATAAAAGTTAAACTTATATATTCAGTAGTTCATTTTTTCCAAAAAAGTGTGGGAAATGGGGTTTAACATGGGCCAGACCCATTCCAAATGAGCCATGATTTTTTGCAATGCAAAATAAATTAAACATGGCCAATTTCTTATGAAATCATATATTAGTAAATCATAAAATACCTTACTTTTTCAAATAAAATGTAATAATCTTATGACCTTGAATTCTAGTGATGTGTAAACATTGTCGCTAGACATTAACCGATTGATAATTGTATGATAATCGACAATTTTTTTCGCGATTCACGTGATGATACTTTGTCAGGTGAATTCTAAAATTTTGTTTTGTCCAGGGAATAAATCATAGGCCGATCTGAGAAAACTTTTTGAAGGTGGCAGTCTTCCTTTAACAGCGGGAGTTTCACATCGCAGCCGTTCTGTACTAAACTTAAAACACTTTTTTCTTCTCTGTGTTGCAGAATCTTGGCATCTTGAACACGGGGTGTATAAATAAGAGATAATGAGCCTCAGCAGCAAATCAGACATTTATAACAAAACATATTCGTCTAAGTGGTAAGAGAGGACTTGAGAGCTTAGGTCGAGTAAAATTTCTAACTCAAAAAATAAAAAACACATTGAATAAAACTATTGGTTGGCTTGAAGTATGTGGTTCACTTATGAAGCTGTCAAAATCATGCTCTTCCCACTTTTGCACCCATGTGCTCGCAGTGTACTTACGCTAGTTGTGCTCTCCTCACTGTCGCTCTCCTCGCTGCTTTTTTCTCCTCCCCCGTGGCAGCCGAAGGCGTGTCCTCGACCTCTTCCGCAGCCTCGACCAGCCTCTACCGCTAACATCAAAACAGAACCCAAAAGAACAGCAATGAGAGCAGCTGTGAGCTTGATCATGGTGGAACCTATGCAACCTGCAACGCAGACTGAGTGTGAGGCCAGCCCAACTGTGGAACGGACCAACGGCGGAGCCCTGATATACCCCGGAGCTGCGGGCGTGTCTCTCTTCCGGTACGCAGCTGCCACCCGGCACTGCGTTGCGGTCACATGCAGCGCCGGGTCGGGTGCGAAATTCCAAAGCTGTGCGAGATCGCTCTGTATGATTGCATTTGTAGAGATATCCCCGTGATATTTAAATTCCATACCCTATCCCGTAATCTCCCTAATTTTTTTAAATACTCGGCTTTTCCGGACAGTGTGACTGTATTCATGTCACTTCGTCAGCGGCATACAAGTAGTATGAACATTTTCGAAATGACATTTTCAAAACTCAAGTAGTTAAATAAAGCGCAACTCGCTTAACCCGCGCGGGGCTGATGGGGTAAATTTTACCCCCCCCTCGCGAATTTTTGCAATATCTCAAAAACTGCGGCGCGCAGCGCCGCCAAACTTTAATTACCTTTTCTTACATCAATTTGACACGTTCCCTGAAAATTTTGAGCGAAATCCGTCGGATTTTTTTTTGAGAAATTGACGTTTTAATGACGTCATGTTCGCCATTTTCGCCTCAAAAACGGCAAAATTTCAAACGCCGCTAACATCTTCATTTTTAAAGGAATCAAGACGAAACAAAAAAGGTTATACTTAATTCTACTTTGTCTATCAAATGGTTATCTCGGTTTTGTGAAAGTTTTGGATTTTGGCCCAATCTTTTTTTCAAAAAACTGACTTTTTTGGGAAAATAATTATAAAATCCAAAATTTTGAGTGTATCGAAAAAACCGGAATATATATCAGAGAAGTGGTCTATGTGCACCTACATACCAATTTTTAGAAGAATCGGTTCAAAAATGTGGGAGTTATTCAAAATTTTATGACGTCATGACACACAAACTTTTTGAAAAATGATTTTTTTTGCAAGTTCTAGACCTTGTACGGAAACAAAAATAACACCATTCGATTCGCCGTGAAAAACTGCATCAGATAGACACCTTTTTAGGCCTTAACAACCAACTTCAAAATTTGACCTCACTTGACCTGACCTTGACCTGACCTCGACCTGAAATTCATCCAGAGGTGGTCCATATCACTTATTGAGTGTGCCTATTGAATTATATGAGTAAAATGAAAAAATGAGTAAAATGAATAAAATGAGTAAAATGTAAAATGACTATATTTTGTTTTTGGTGACCTGACCTGACCTGACCTTGACCTTGACCTCTGAATGATATTGTATGCAACGAATATTGTCTTGGTAGCCTAAGAACACGTTTTGGGCAATCAGTCTCAGTCCATGACTCCATTCTTCGGCAACTACGGTGCAAGGCCGATACTGTAGAAACTTTCAATTTGTACCCTTGACCTGACCTTGACCTTGACCTCAAACTTTAAATTAAGTACATGTTTTTAGTTGTTCGTGATGAGATATTTGGATTGGCGTTTGAATTTTCCAAATCGGACCATTAGTTCGGGAGATAAAGGGGGGGGGGTAAAATTTACCCCCCCCCCAGCCCCGCGCGTTCGGCTGGAGACCCCAGCCCCGCGCGGGTTAACCCTCGCCGGCACAGGGGGTTTATGCAACTCCCTAAGGTTTTTGTCAAATAACTCGCGTAAAAAGCAGCCGATCGCCACGAAACTTTTAGTACCTTCGCATTGATCAATTTTACTCTTACCCTGAAAATTTCATGATCCTGACCCAAATAACCTTTGACCTGTGATCTACTTTCCAAAACCATATTTGGCCGGAATCGCGATTCGGCGTATGTCAGCTCGCATTAGCCGTGCGTTTGCAAGCTTTTCGTGGTTTCAAACGTTCAAACATATGATTTGATATTGCTCCCATGCATTAGGGTGGATGTCAAGGTCACCTGAAGGTCAGGTCAGGTCATTGACCTTTGGTGACCTCGGTTCACTTTTTTCGAGTTTTACATGTTTCTAGGCTAGTTTTTGGAGCTGAATTCAAATTAAGGAACCATTTGAACATTTACGAAGAAGTTTTGGTGCCTTCGTAACATGTTACGAAGCTGTCAGAGGCAATTGACACGTAATACGAATACCCGTCACGTCACGGTTGACCTGACGGGTACTGATTGACCTGACCTGATCTGACCCGACCTGGTCAAAATACTTCAAGACATCATCTGTGATCAAAACTAACGTGATATTCGTGATCAGTACCCCGAAAAACCCCATAGAAGCCACACTTTACGACTTCCTAACAGGTCCTAATTTTTCCCACTTTTGAGTCATTGACCTGACCTTAAAGGTCAACTGATAACCTAAGACCTTAAAATTTGGCGTCATCGATCTTCTCTCGTGACGGGCAACACGCTCGTTTTTTTTCCGTGAAGCTCTAGCTCGATCAGTGGTCAAACGCGAGGGGGTCGTACCAACCCCCATTGTGCCGTCGAAGGACGCAAAATGACCAGTGCCGGCGAGGGTAAATGTGCAATACGTGATCAGAAAGGAAGTAAAGGTGAGCTTTTGCATCTGTTGGTTTCGAGAAGATTGTTGTATGCAGTTTTTCTTTGTCTATAGTCACACGTACATCAAAAAAGTCTATTTCGGTGGGTAAAAATGGAGTGTATGTTAATTGGAGCTAATTTTCTAAATAAAAAAAAAAATGTGCATCCTGTCAAGAAAAGAGCAAAGAATGCGCTAGATGACAGAAAAAATACTTGAAATGAGCGTAAAACTGTACACGCTCGCCATTCCGCAGACACATTCGGCACCAAAAGGGATGTGAAGAGAACCGGAACATCCTTATTGTTTAGAAGCAAAATTATTTTTGGAACCTTTGTGACCTGTCCTGTATAAAGGCGATGTCATCTGCAATGAAATGGCTCAGGAAACCAGCCTAATCAGAATGTTATGAGAATACTCTCAATAGCTGACAGCATATTTTTTCATATGAGAAATGAAAGATCAGCTAATTAAATTTGATACGATTTTTAAGGTCATCATTAGCACTGAGGTCAATAAAACTGGGCTATTAATTAACTATGATAAATGGAGCAATGGAATGAAGCTTCTATTTCAAAATTTGGCTAGGTAGTTATAAAGATAAGGGAGAATGAAATCCCGGTATGGTGGGCCAAACTCGAACAACGGCCCAGCGAGATTATTCAGCGTGTTAACATTCAATGATTCAGCATTTTATGAAAAGCCCACATTAGGCAAAAAAACCCTCATTAGGCAGAACATTGTAGCACACTCCATCTATCCAATATTGCTACACCAATGTCCATATGCAGCTGATGTTGTCTGTGGACTTCCTCCTCTTTCAATGCTGCTGGTGCGCCACATTTTTACATGTTCACTGTTCACTGAGTGTGAATTGACAATGGTGCCGCTGGGAGCCTGTCATTCCGACATCATCCTGCACGGTCGGGTGGGGGTAGGGTGTGTGTGTGTGGGGTGGGGGTGGGGGGTGGGGGGGGGGGTGGCATACACCAGCACCCGGAAGTCCGGAAACCGCAGTTTTCGCCTAGCGTTAGTTTGAAAACGCATACTTTTGCACAACGCTTATTGAAGGAAGGAAGAAGTAAAAATTAACGCTTTTGCAGGCATGGCCGGAGTCTCTGCATTCTAGACACGTACGTACTTATGCTATATCCAGAAGTTGGTCAGGATGTATCCAGGACACAATTGATTAATCGAGATGTTTTCGGACACACCGGCCGGTCGGAATGTTTCCGGACATATTGACCCAGGTTATATCGGGCACACTAGCCCGGGGTAGATCCGGACACTCCGGCCAGTCGGGGTGTTTCCGGATCCGCGCGGCTCACCAATGAAGATGAGTCGTACATCAGCAGAGCCCTGCCTTGATGAGGCGATTCGCTCCGGCGCGCACACCGTCACACTATGAATTATGCAGCGGCGTATATTTGAATTTCGATATCCCCCTCAATCGGTCATTCCTGGGCCCGCGCCTCCGAGGAAAACAAACTGTGAAATGACGGAGAGTCGAGGTCGGAACGGCACAGGGAGACACACGGACACCGAAATAATTCCCCACAGCGAGTGATTCCGCCAGTGCCAACACCTTGGCAAGTACTTTTATTTCTAAAGTAGATCTTAACCCGCGCGGGGCTGGGGGGGGGGGTAAATTTTACCCCCCCTCGCGAATTTTTGCGATATCTCAAAAACGTCGGCGCGCAGCGCCGCCAAACTTTCAGTACTTTTTCTGACATCAATTTGACACGTTCCCTGAAAATTTGAGCGAAATCCGTTGGAAATTTTTTGAGAAATTGACGTTTTAGTGACGTCATGTTCGCCATTTTCGCTTCAAAAACGGCAAAAGTTCAAACGCCGCTAACATCTTCATTTTTAAAGGAATCAAGACGTAACAAAAAAGGTGATACGTAGTTTTAATTTGTCTATCAAATGGCTATCTCGGTTTTTTGAAAATTTTGGATTTTGGCCTAAATTTTTTCAAAAAACTGACTTTTTTGGGAAAATCATTATAAAATCCAAAATTTTGAGTCTATCGAAAAACCGGAATATATGTCAGAGAAGTGGTCTATGTGCACCTACATACCAAATTTTAGAAGAATCAGTTCAAAAATGTGGGAGTTATTCAAAATTTTATGACGTCACGACACACAAAATTTTTGAAAAATGACTTTTTTGGACGTTCTAGACCTCGTACGGAAACAAAAATAGCACCATTCGATTCGCCGTGAAAAACTGCATCAGATAGACACCTTTTTAGGCCTTAACAACCAACTTCAAAATTTGACCTAACTTGACCTGACCTTGACCTGACCTCGACCTGAAATTCATCCAGAGGTGGTCCATATCACTTATTGAGTGTGCCTATTGAATTCTATGAGTAAAATGACCCATAAAACATGTGTCGCACATGCCCTTTTCTATATTTTGTTTTTTGGTGACCTGACCTGACCTGACCTGACCTTGACCTTGACCTCTGAATGATATTGTATGCAACGAATATTGTCTTGGTAGCCTAAGAACACGTTTTGGGCGATCAGTCTCAGTCCATGACTCCATTCTTCGGCAACTACGGTGCAAGGCCGATACTGTAGAAACTTGCAATTTGTACCCTTGACCTGACCTTGACCTTGACCTCAAACTTTAAATTAAGTACATGTTTTTAGTAGTTCGTGATGAGAGCTTTCGA